TCTTAAATGATAAACATTAAGTGGTATTCTACTGTGCATTGTTTACCTAGGCACAGTATACAGCATTACAGACCATCAAAGGTGATACCAGGTATAGTTTGTATGTCCTGCCTTTTTGAGGAATTGCAAGTGTATAGGGCTGTTGCATCTGTGGCTGTTTTCCTGGAGGTGAAATTTTGGGGCCCCTCATAATGTACATAATTTGATTTCTCATAACTAGATGAATAAAAGCTGAATGTGTGACTGCCTCCATGGTAGTTATGTGTGTGAACCCATCCTTGGTTTCCTATGGAATTTGAGCCCCAAGCAGACAATTAGGGTTAAAGACTGCAAGACATTTTGGTGCTTATGGAAACCCCAACCTACATTCCAGAACTGAAGTCAGGCCTCCTGATGGGAGCTCTGTAAGTGCATTCAATCTAACACCGTTTAAAAACCTTTAGAGTCTTTTCTCTGAAAATGCACAGGTAGTGCAGTGCAGCAAAATGCATACATATGCATTTAATGTGCTGAGAAACAGCTACTCAAGGCTTCTGTTTTGGTGGATAATCTGGGATGCTTGTACCATAGGGCATGAATATAGAGTCCACGTAGCCAGGGCTAGAGATAATGGTGTGGACTGGCACACCCAGTTGATATATTTTGGCTAGCAGATAGAATCCACTGGTCCTCACATTTTTCAGTGGGGCTGCATTTTCAGTGAATTGACTCGATTCACACTTTTCTTTTCTGATTGAACCACAGGCTGAAATACAGCTACTACTTGGATTTCATTCTTCTCCAAATTTTGCAGTACAATTTTCAGCTCAGAACACAATCCATGTAGTACATTTCCATTAAATATGCTAGGATTGATATGGAAGCGAGATAGACTAGAAGAAAGTAAAAAACTGATGCAGACCAGAAATTGATGGGTCCATGGAGAAGATCCCCGGCTGGCTTCTCTAGTATGTAAATATTTTCTCTCCACTCATGAGAACACCTTTTTGGTCAGACATAATGTCACAGCCTGCATAGATTTAGAAATTAGTAGTAATTTAGTCCCTTAGCTTTGCTTCTGTAGGTCGTTCTGTTTGTGATGATGCCAACCCCTGTATTATCAATTTCTTTGATAATTGCTTTATAATTTTAGGTTAGTAAAACAGACCCCTTAGGAGAAGCAAACACTCAGGAGAGAGACTGACGAAATGGAAGTGACTGGACAGTTGACTAAGATCAAATAAAAGACTCAGTGTGGAAGTCTCTAAAATATATCTTGTATCCCACATTAAAGGAGTATTGTTACACACATAAGAAGCAATGGGATGTATGAGCATTTCATATTGCATGGCTGATTCCTGTTACCGGGGAAGATGCTTGCTGACCTCATCAACAGTTCTGTCAAATTGGAGGAGACAATATTCTGATTTTCTAAAGGAGACTCAGAGCCAGTAGATAGCAAATGGTTGAACTTGAAAACAGTGTTGCTGTTACTAGCTTATGTCCGTGGATGTTGCTTTTGGGTTTGTGAATTGAACACACTATGAATGTTTGAGCAGATTTAGGGGTCACAAAACCCAACACCCAATTCCAGAAGATTTTCATTCTTCATTAGTTTTATGAAGGCTAGAACAAGTATTTCTGCTATGGGCAAGGACTTAATAGTCAAAACATTGTTGAGTTGGATAAAATTGAACTTTAAATGTGGATTTTAAACTTTTTTCACCTAAGTTCTGAATGTTGGGGTCCACTTGCCAACAGTGGGCAGGGCCACGTTCTGTATAAGTAGGTCCAGCTACAGGGAGCACATTCTAAAAAAAGATTAGACACCCCACTGCTGATATGTGGGCCCCAACCTCATTGCCTAAACACTATTCATACTCAGCTTGCTGACACAGGCACTGGGCCCTTGAAAACAAGGTGACTCTAGCTGTGGCAAGGCTTCTGGATGGCCTCAATTGCCCAACTGTCAAAGTCCAAGATATCACAGGCAGCCTCTCACAAGGGCACCAGGACCCAGTCTGCCACATAGGGTGTCACATCCAAAGACACTCACTGCACAGCAGGCCATGACCAAGCAGAGGTGGGAGAACCAGGTAACAGGACCTAGAGTACAGAGCCAGAATAAGGTGCTGAGATGCAGGAGACAAGCAGGGACCAAGGCAGTGACAGGAACACTGGAATCGAGACATAGAGATGCAGGGACCAAGGCAGGAAGAAGAGCACTTGAATGAACAAACTCCAACACACAGAAGCAGCAAGGCACCGCCAAAATTTTTGTTACTAAGGCAATTTCTGGGAGAGAGAACCACTCCTTAAATGGGCCTTCTCGCCGGGTTTCCAGGTGAGCTTAATGAGAGGCCCAGCAGCTGCTACATGGGCCAGGGCCTGAGCCTGCAAACACCAGGCTGTTCCTGGGTCAGGCTGGCCACAATTCTGCAGCTGCCAGGGCAATGTGGGCCACCACCTGATACCAACATAAGATTTTTTAAAGCCTGACTAAAGCCTGATATTGTGATATGGATACCTAGCCATGAGCAGGATTTTATAAAACACTAAAGGTATAGGTAAAGGTTCCCCTTGACAATTTTTGTCCAGTCGTGTCCGACTCTAGGGGGCGGTGCTCATCCCTGTTTCCAAGCCATAGAGCCAGCGTTTTGTCCGAAGACAATCTTCCGTGGTCACATGGCCAGTGCGACTTAGACACGGAACGCTGTTACCTTCCCACTGAGATGGTCCCTATTTATCTACTTGCATTAGCATGCTTTCGAACCACTAGGTTGGCGGGAGCTGGGACAAGTGACGGGAGCTCACTCCATTGCGTGGATTCGATCTTACAACTGCTAGTCTTCTGACCCTGCAGCATAGGCTTCTGCGGTTTAGCCCACAGCACCACCACATCCCTTTATAAAACACATGTGTGTGTGTGTTATAAAACACTACATTGCACCAAATCTTCAATTAGTGTTTTAGTTAAAGCTTACTATTTTCTCAGCTGTTCAGCCATGGGGGGGGAGCTATTTATTCAGGTTCCCAAAGACTCAGGGAATGTGAAGAGAAATTGTTCCAGGATAATTCAGTTGAGAATGAAAATATCAAATAAAGCAATCAGATCTTAACCTCATGGGTTGCTGGCAGGGTGGGAGAGGAGGAGGGAGGGGAGATAAAAATAAATGGAAAAGGTGAATGTCAGGCAATCAGCATTTGTTGAGAGCAGTCCGTAAGCCAAAAATCTAGCTTTGTATAAATATCATAAGAAAAAGAATTCTAATTGGGGAGTTGTAGAATCTCCCAAAAGAAAGCATCTCTTTGTTTGGAGGGCAAATAACATGGTTGGAACTTGTCATCAGGGTACAAATTCAAAGTAGAGCTATCAGCTTTGTAGCTTGTCCATACTGATCCATTGTCTCATGACTTGCTCAAAGCCTTGCCACCACAGCTATCTTATATCTATCTTCTTGCTCATCCCATAATCAAAAAGTCCAGGTAAAGAGAAATCCTCTACTCCTTTCCCAACAGGAAACAGTTGATCCTGAAGTTGCAAAGCAAACTGGGGATTCCTTCTTTATTTGGTAGCTTTCTAATACATTCCATTTCATAGCCCACATGTCTGCATCCCAATCCTATTCATATGTCTATACATCTTAGCCTCAGTGTGTCCCTGGACCCTAAAAATAGAAGCTGTTTAACAGTAAGACTCTGCAAGGGAAATGTCTTATTTTCAATGTGTTTGGCAGGTCCTAGCCCCACCTCCTCTGGTGAGTACCCATTCAAAGGCAGTGCTCCAGCTGCCCTGCCTCCTCTGAGTGCTGCTTCTGAGTGGGCGCCCACCAGAGGAGGCGGGATTGGGAGCCACCAAATACCTATTCATCCAAGAAACAAACTGATGAATGGCAGTTCATGCCCATCTCTACTTTGTGCACATAAAGCCCATAGTCTTTGTGACAATCTGAATGGTAGATCAGATTCTAGTCCTCACATTCTGTTTGTGGTGAGATAAAGACAACGCTTAGTTTATAGCCAAGAGCAACCCTGAATAGTAGATTCAGATTTCTTCAACAGATAAATGGCTGTTTTCTTGTTATTTTTGGAGTGAGGGAAGGCATATTTTGTTGTAAATGTGAGAAGCTGCTGTTAAAATGGCTCAGAAGCCTTCAACATAATTTCTCAAGTTTCATACATCTTTAATTATTTTCCCTACAGTATCAATCAGCATCTATTTCACACAGGGAGCAAAAGAGCACAGCTACGCTTCCAGAATAAATGGCCTAACTCGAGATACTAGAAATTATTAATAATTTGCTCTGATTATAGCTGCACATTGAAAGAGAAACATCATTTCTTTGAATTGTTGGTGTAACATTGGATTGGGCAAGGGTGACGGAAAGTTAAAAGAAAAAAACTTACATTGCACTCATTAAAATATAGAAACTTGCTAAAGTTGATGGAACAGTGATGAAAGGAATATATAGGGTAGAAATGCTGGCTCGAGCTTGCATAAAGATCTGTGACAAATGACATTGTATTGACTATAGTGAATTGTTAATGGTAACTGAGAGCCTAACTAAATATGATGCTAAATGTGAAAAAGTCAATGCATGTTAACAGTGCACTTCTCTTTCTCTTTGCATCAGGAGAAGTAACTGTACGTCACACAGTAATTGACAATGTCTTCTCCCTTTCCATGCTTATTCAAGTGGCAGCAGGAGATAAACGGGAGAGGAACTGCCCAGTTAGGAAGCCCCAGATCCCCTCCACACATATGGTGTCCGCTCCGGCCCTTCCCAAATCTGGGGAACTATGCTTCCCTTTTCTGAACTTAGCTCTTAGCTCTGTAATTTTCCTTTTCAACATAACTCATATTTTGCTGCTTTCCTGGAATCAAGAAAAGATATGGATTGACCAAGCAGCTAGCAGTCGACATTGTGGTTGGGTTCCCTTGGCATGGTAGATCACAAATTCTGTTGATCTACAGTAGTTCATTTCTCCAGAATAATTATCCTATGTTTTCTCTTTTGCAGCAAGCTAAAGGACCACCAAGTGCAGTGCCATCAGGAATGCAAAAGAAGGTCAAGAGGACTCTTCCCAACCCACCTCCAGAAGACGTGGCAATGGGAACATCATCCACTTTCACAACTGTGGGGTCAGCTTCACGCCGAAGAATCTGCCGAAGCAATACTATGGCCAGAGCTAAAATCCTCCAGGATATAGATAGGGAACTGGATCTGGTGGAAAGAGAGTCTGCCAAGCTACGGAAGAAGCAAGCAGAGCTAGATGAAGAAGAGAAAGAAATAGATGCAAAGCTTCGATATCTAGAAATGGGCATTAATAGACGAAAAGAGGCACTGTTAAAAGAGAGAGAGAAAAGGGAGCGTGCCTACCTTCAGGGTGTAGCAGAGGAACGTGATTATATGTCTGACAGTGAAGTGAGCAGCACCAGGCCCACCAGGATAGAATCTCAACATGCCTTGGAAAGACCACGGACTGCACCCCAAACAGAATTTGACCAATTTATACCCCCACAGACTGAACCAGAAACTCAGTTTGCAACTCCTACGAGTCCTTACACTCAGTATCAATATTCTTCCCCTGCTGTCCCTACTCAGGCACCAACTCAGTACAGCCAGCAATCTCATTATCAGCAGCAGCAGCAGCAGCAGCCTCTATATCAACAGCAGGTTTCTCCTTATCAAACCCAATCTGCATTCCAGACCGTGGCAACCATGTCCTTCACACCCCAAGCTCAACCACCACCGGCCCCACAGCCTTCCTACCCACTTTCATCACAGTTGATGGTGATCCCACAAAAAACAAGGCAAACTTCCCTATACCTGGAACCCAAGATTACATCCAACTATGATGTGATTCGCAATCAGCCTCTTATGATAGCACCGGCATCATCTGATAACACATACACCATGTCCCATCTGGGTAGTAAATACAGCACCTTGGACTTGAGGTTGGGCCTGGATGAGAGGAGCAGCATGGCTAGTAGTCCCATTTCTAGCATATCTGGTGATTCATTCTACGCAGACATTGACCACCATACATCACGTAACTATGTGCTGCTTGATGATATTGGGGATCTTACTAAAGGAACATCTGCTCTCAGTTCTGCTTATGGCTTGCATGAGAAGGATCTCAGTAAAACAGACAGGCTTCTTCGAACTACTGAGGCCCGGAGGGTGCAAGAAGTCTCAGAGTTTCTTGCACCATTGCAAACTTCTTCTCGACTGCACAGCTACATGAAAGCTGATGAAGACCCAATGGAAGATCCTTATGAACTGAAGCTTCTAAAGCATCAGATCAAGCAGGAGTTCCGAAGGGGCACTGAAAGTCTGGACCACCTGGCAGGTCTTTCACAGTATTACCACTCAGATACTAGTTACAGACATTTCCCCAAATCTGAGAAATACAGCATAAGCAGGCTTACACTAGAGAAACAAGCTGCCAAACAGCTTCCAGCTGCCCTGCTTTATCAGAAGCAATCAAAACATAAGAAGGCCTTGATAGATCCCAAATTGTCAAAATTTTCACCCATCCAGGAAAGCAGGGACCTTGAGCTTGATTACTCAAACTACTTGACTTCTAGCACATCATCACTTGGAGGCATCACCTCTAGAGCAAGGCTGCTCCAGGATGATATAACATTTGGCCTCCGAAAAAATATCACGGAACAACAGAAGTATATGGGGCCCACGCTAACACATTCCCTTGGTACAAGTCTGGGGGCTGCGCTGAGTACAACAATGCGGTCCACATTTCAGGATGATGCTGACAAACCCTACAGCAGTGGCAGTAGGTCTAGGCCTTCCTCCAGGCCATCATCTGTCTATGGGCTTGACTTGTCACTAAAAAGAGATTCTTCAAGCTCTTCGTTAAGACTAAAAGCCCAAGAGGCAGAACCACTAGATGTTTCCTTCAGCCATGCAGCCCCCTCTGGAAGAACTAAACCCACTAGTCTGCCTATCAGTCAGAGTAGGGGACGGATCCCAATTGTAGCCCAGAACTCAGAGGAAGAGAGCCCTCTGAGTCCCGTGGGCCAGCCAATGGGGATGGCAAGAGCAGCAGCTGGGCCGTTACCTCCTATATCTGCAGACACAAGGGACCAGTTTGGATCAAGCCATTCACTGCCTGAAGTCCAACAGCATATGAGGGAAGAATCAAGAGCTCGAGGCTATGACCGGGATATAGCCTTCATCATGGATGACTTTCAGCATGCCATGTCAGATAGCGAAGGTAAACTAGACTTCAGACTGCTTTATTGCTCTCACAACACAAATCCTCATTTCTATGCATGTGTCTAATTTCATCATCTTTTTGGGACTACTACTACTCCTTTTTTCCTTTCTGCATTTTGTGTGTGTATATATGTATACATGTATATGTATTTTTTCATTTCAGTTGGCCAGCTGATTTAACTGTGTATGCTCAGATTCTGGATGAGTACAAAGATAGACATGCATGTTCAATTCTTGCTCTCACTCTCTTTCTCTCTCTCTCTGGTTTGTTTTTAATTTTTTGTGTATATATCTTGCTCTCAACTTCTCATAACAGCATTTTGGCTTGGATTTTGAGATGTATTCATTCATTGGCCTGTCTTCTTCCATTACATTCAGTGGGATAAACCTCCACTGAAAAAAACCAAAAACATCACCCAACTAAATTATAGCCTTCATAATAACTTAACCTATCCTTATCCTAACCTGTTCAATGGGCAGTATTCTGCACATTATTATGCTTGTTGAAAAACGTCTGCTACCTAGAAAGTTTCAAAGCCATAGAACACAATTTATAAGCAAACAAACAAGTAAATATTTTAAAAATAATTGCAATATCTATAATTCAATGATAAATCATTGTTCTAAGCTCTGATAGAATTACAGCCAGAAACAGTACTGTTATGATGAGGTGTATTGTCAGAAACTTCATTATCACACTTTTTAATTGTTTCACAATGCAGTGGAAATATGCATACGAATAGTAATTTTATGATGAAATATTGTACTTTATTATCACACTTCTTTAGTAACATCTTCCTTAAGTGTATCCTGCTGGATGTGTATGGACATCTGTACATTTTTTTGAAAAAGCTATGATTATATAATCATGTTTATGGTTCAGATGGGTGGGACAATTAATTTCCTCAGTAAACTCAGTTATCTAATTTTAATCCCAGCCATATGTATAAATTATCCTATATGAACCCTAACCAATATTTTTGCCATATATGCATGTTTGTAAAGTAACTCTATTTGTGGAGGATGTTGCATGAATGAAAATGTCCTATCTGCTCTTCAATTGTTGGAGAAGTTTGAGGTAGAAACAGGTAAATGTTGGAAAAACCAAGCAACAGGCAAGCTTTTCAGTTTTAAAAAAATACAACAGGCAAGTGCAGAAGATTATTTTTACATGAAGCCATGGTGAAAAGCTGTTTTTTTAAAAAAAAGCTGCTAAGAAAAAAATTATTTGATGTTAAGCATTAAAGTATACACTGTGTTTTAGCATCGTGGGACTTCTGAGTAAAGTTTTTAATATTTTTAAGCTGTTTCAGAATGCATTTTTTTAAAAAAAATTGAAAATGAATGAAACCTACATGTTTCGTACCAATTTTTTCCCTTTGTATCTGCTCGATTGCAGTTTGTGCATATTGTCCAATAAAGAAACACTGCACGCACTCTTGTGTTTGCTAATAGCAGTGATTGCTGTTGAACAAGTGCTTGTATTACTCTGAAGTATGATAATGTATTCACCTGGCACATTCTTATCTTATTTATTTTTATAATGCTTTAACCTTGCTTAATATATTAAAATCAATGGCCAGAACCTTACTGAGCATTTATGCCAGCATCACTGGAATTGGTTAAATAATGTTGGTCAATTGGCACTAATCAATGAGGAGCCCTTGGCATTCTTCACTATGTGCTGTCTGTACAACTTTGTGCACAATCAGGAATGCAAGTAGCAGCTTATTAATTCATGGCAATTTACACGATGGCACTGGCACTGGCATAAAACCTCAGTGGAATTTTGGCCTCTCAATGGAATATTCACAAAAATACGGAAGTATAAATGAGAGCAGTCAGATACTGAGCTAAATCCAATGTTAATCCTATCTAGAGGAGACCCACTGAAAAATTATGGGACTTCTTGCAACAAATGTAAGTACAATTCATTTCAAGTCCTCCATATTCAACCAATGAATATTAGAAGGGAAATATGAAGACAAGAGATGTTGACTTCTGTTACACAGTTAAACATATAAGTGGTGGACTGCTTTCTTTATACATTCTGTCTTTCTGTATATTTCTTAAAGTATACCTCAAAATTTAGATTATTTGTAACAATGTATTTATTGAATCTAGATCTGTTTAATACATGGCATGAGTAAGGCAGATGTAAGATCTTTTCTTATTTCCTTGTTTGATTCAGGATCTTCACAGTTCATCATGTATCCCTGAAATTTTCTCATTGTCACCATTTCCTACATGCTTCTGCAGTTGCAGTGCTTCCTACAGTTTCTCAAGTAGTGGAAAAAACTCTGCTCAGTGCTTTCAGCACCTTTAGCAAAAAGGCACTGGTTCATGCTGCTGTGGGACTAAAAAGGCAGAGCTCATCCAAAGCCCTTGGTGTCTAGCAAGCAGAGACCTGGGCCGCCATATTTTACATGCCTCCAACAAAGTTGACCTGCTTAAACCATGTCTAGACATCTGCACATGTCAAGGATCAGCTCTTACTTTCACTATGATTGATACCACTCTCCCCTCCCCCGCCCCCATTCCTAGATTTCAGGCCTTAGTCCAACTTTCTCTGATAAGCAGAGTCATATCTTTCAGGCAATCCTGACAGAACAAAGGGATGGGATAACAAGCTGACTGAAAAGAGAGAGTTTATTTTCAGACTTTTTTCCTTTCACAGTTTGTTCTAGCACATCATTTACTCTAGATTTTCATTTGGTATAGCCCCTCATTCTGTCCATATAAGGTCACCAGGAAGCATAACACTTGTGCACATATTCTTCTGAAACAAAAAGTGGACTTTCTTTGGCCATTCCTCTCATTCAGTTGTCACATGTGCCAGCACCGCTGGAACATTATGCTGGCTTTACTCCAGCAAATCTGTTCATGAAACAACAAATCATTTACATCCGCCATTCTGGCAACATGAACTTCATTGTCTGAACCCTGCAGCTGTACAACTGGTCCTGTGAAATCCAGCATTCATTTCTACTGTTGGAGTTTATGGATTAAATGGGAATTATATTCATATTGCACCACATGCCCTGATAATGTCAGAATCCTTAGGTGAATGCTATCTTAGTAGCAAAAAGTCCATATGCTCTTTCTTTCAATGAAGTTACCATTTTTGTAACACACACAAATATTATTTAACATGAAGCACTGCTACATCAGAATCTTTTTAAAAACATATAACATGGCCTGAACATATCAAAAAATGCTTAAAAATAAACATAGGAATGGATTCACCAAAGAACTCAACACCTGATGTGTTATAGCATTCACGAAAAAAGAAAACATTTAAGGGGTTGGGCAAGCACTTAGAATAGACAGTGGTGATCTTTAAATCAGTATCCTTTTCCCAACCCCAAAACTGAACTCCTGAGGCTGCTGTTTGCCACAATTTTCATTCATCTACTGGCTGAATTCCAGCTTTCACAATACTACCCGTGCACCTGTACTGGGTATGGTATGCCCAGTAGTTAGTAATCACACAGCATGGACACTCGTCAGCACTGTTATCTATTAAATATATAAACCCACAGATAATTATCAAAATCCCGTTGTGCAGTGTAAGCAAATGTGTACGTTTTGGCCCATTGCTCACCTCATCAAGAGCCCCCCCCACTGCACTTCTCAGGGCCACACATGCACACCAACAAGCCAGTGTCCACATGCTTGCTCAAGAGCCATGGGGTTTATTTACTGGCAAGGAATGTTCTAAAACTTATGAATTTGCTTACATTGCACAACAGGATTTTGACCAGTATCTTCACTTGACGCAACACATTAGTGCTGCACACTTGTACTAAAGACTGTTACTTCAGAACTCTTTCCAATGAGGCAACCATGTTCCTGTCTCAGCATGCTGATAAAATCAAAGGGAAACCATTTTAAAAGGAGGGAGGAAGCAAATGGCAAACTGTTATGACTATTTGATTTGTTTCATTTTGACCTTTATTGAGCCATAAAAGCTCACACTGAAACATATCCGTCTGTCTTTAAGGTGCCATCATATTTTGTCATTTGCTTTTTTAAATTCTCTCTGCTCCATTTTTCCCTCTTAATTTTTCCAGTTTATTTTATAACTTGTGATTAATTTGTGGAAGTCAGAAGATTGACACACTTAATGCCTTGGAAGTTGCATATATAAACTGATTGATGACTAGTTCCCGATTGGAGATGCTTTTCAGTCTAGTCTTATGCATATGAAATGCAGGCAAGCCCCCTCAAATTAAGTTGTGCCTATTGCCAGTTCAGTGAAATAGTAACCTTAGAGAAAATTACAGCAGACATAACAGATTTCAGATTTTCCAATATGACAAAATTAGGGCAGTGCCTGTGGGGATTTTAAGAGGTGTTTGATTGTGTGCTGGGTTTACTTCCTTCACCTCCACAGTTGTTATTGTTATCCTCCTACTGCCTTCATCCTTTTCATCTGACTACCACCATCTCATCTGTCCCCTCATCCAGGTTTTCTCCTTCCCAAATGTTTGCTACTGGTCTTATTTTTTATTCCCATATCCCCCACATTTTCTAATCCACACACCCATTCCCAGCAGCCTCTCAACACCTGTTTTCTCCTTTACAGGCCTGATTTTAAATTTACTCTATGACATGCTCAAACACTATAACTTTCAATCAAAATGTCTGGAGGATATGTTTATTACAAGATAAGCATTAAGTGTTAACTTGTTCTCATGAAAAATGTTCAGAATAGCACTTACTGATAAATACTCCTGTTACTGTTGTACCAGAATCCTCCTGTGATGCAGATTATAGTCCTGATGGGCTTGGCCCTCATCTTCTGTACCCTGGACACAAATGGAACAGTTCAATTACATACATTTTCTATTGTTGCTGCTTCTTCCACAAACTTTGTTGGAAGCTTGCCAGTGTCAATGTTCTATGTACTCTGTGCTGCTTGAGTCAACTTACACAGCTCTCACCTAATGTACAAAGAAGAACAGATTCATTTATTTCAATGGCATCTCTGTTTATTTTGGTACATTAAAAATACTTGGTGATATAACATTGCTATGAATTATACTGTTAAAGCTTAGTAGGTCTTAACACGGCCAGTATCTAGATGGAAGTCAACTTTAGAAAAACTGAAGGCCAACGTTCTGTTCATACAGGGGCCAACTATATGCTTTTGGGAAGCCTACAAGCAAAACTTTATTATCTTCCAAAACATGCAACACTATAGGTGGGAGTTGCAATGGGAATATGCAAGACAGAAAAGCACAACCATGGACCGTTTTATTTCAGAGAACCGTTCCGAAGGTGCTCACTAGAAACAGCTGTCGGCATTATATTATACACATGGATACATGTATGGATAGAAAAAATTGTGAAATGTGAAGTGGAAGTTATTCAGCATTCTCTGACCTGGAAACAAATGCCTTAAAATATGAAATAAGAAAGTTCAAACATTCACACTTCAGAATATGTGTACATTCGTTTTATATTGGTTGTTTGTGGGGGTTTTTAATTGCTGTTTTCTGTAATATGTTAAAACCTGGACTCCACCCTCAGGAGTGCTTTCATTTTAATCTTCTTAATGTATTAATATCTTCTAATAAATAGCTTTTGATTTATAGGTAAGGGTTCAAGAATTCCCTGAGTTGGAAGACTCAGGTGTTTTCACAGGAACAGTTCAATACCGGAACTCAACTCTGAATAGTATTTGTCGGATTCTCACTTAGGAGTTTTGTTGACACAAGAGCTCCATACAATGGGTATGCCTGCCCTACACCATCGTCAAATCTGTACTGCCTCCTGACTTACCAAAAATGAATATAGAATGCAGGAACTAGGGAGAAGTAATATAACCACTACAAGAAACAGGGAAGCATAAACAACTTGGGCATCTCCCAGGCATGGAGACCTTATTGATCAGTGACCTCTCCTCTGAAAAGGAGGTCTTGATTTAATTAGAACACTTTGACTGAAAGACAATGCAAATTTTTACCCTGCCACATGCTCAAAAATTGTTTTAAATGCACACGTACACCTATCCACTAAAACTTGTTTACATTAAGGCTTCATTTATATAGAACATCCAGAATCAGAGTGCGGTGGCTGTAAAAGCTTGCATCAAAACTGAAAGCATCTACCAGGAATCATTCTGAGTGAACTTTTAGTAGTCTTATATATGCAAGGAACAGCAGTTCCATGTAGACATTAGTAACTGTTGCGGAACTGGAGACATGGTGGTTCTCATGAAGCCACCTGTTCACCAAAAACCTACAGTGAACAGAACCAGGCCAAAGAAATATTGACGACATTCTTACATATCTGATGTTACGTATACACAGTCAGCAAGTCTGTATCCTCTCTGTTCCTTTCTACTAACCTGAGTTTGTCTGCTTCCACTCTTGTCTGCTACTTTTGCTTTTAAATGCATGGCTGATTTTTAATTGCTCTATGCATGTTTACTGCACACACCAGACTGTTGCTCTTCTGACATCTCTGGCTCAGAACCTATGATATGTCCTTGGTTTTCAAAGCCTACCACCTGCGCCGTGAAGAAACAGATTGGTTCGACAAGCCTCGGGAGTCTCGTTTGGAAAATGGGCATGGTTTTGACAGAAGACTGCCAGACAAGCTAGCACACTCAAGACCACCAAGCCAGCATCAAGACCAAGTAAGAAGGCTAAGTTTTTAACCACTGATATTCTTTAAGATGGTGTGTTCCATATCTTATAGCTCATTATACACAAACATTCAATGTATCTGAGTGAAGTTTAAGGAAACTCCATGCCCTTAATAATATTAATAGCTTTAAAGAGTCTTCCCAACTCTTTTGAGTAAGTTTCAGGATTTGTCTTAACAACTATAGCAACACCAACTTAAAGCATTTTGAAAACTAAACCAGGAAATTAACAATTTAATCTGCTGATGATTTGCTGTCTTTTATGAGCAATGCAAATCAATCATTTAAGGCAGTCTTCAAAGTCTAGTGGCTGAGCCAGTGATTCAACCAGTTAGTGGAATTTTTCTCTACGTTCCTTGGTGAGCACATGAATGTTATCCTGATGCTACATAAGCAAGCTAGAATTAGTGCCACACTAAAGATTCATAAAGCCTGACTTTCATTGCAGGTAAAAACAAAACAAAAAAACCAGTGGTTTGTCAGTATTGTCTCTCCCCATCTTTTTGTGCCTGGGGACTAAGATGAGGACCCAAAATTACAATTTGAATCTCATTATCATTCCAGAAATGTGATTCAGACAGCCTTTAGTGTCTGAGAAGTAAGACTTGCGGACAAGCCTCTGTTTGGCTGTTGAAGGCCAGTTACATAACAAAGCAAGATAATTCACAAACTGCAGAAACTGAGAAAGGTGTGGACTATGACAGACACACACTTTCACCAGCTTTAACTATTTCCCTCATTTAACAAGATACTGCTATAACATATAGTTTAGCCATGAGAAGGAACATGCCCTTTTCTTCTGAAGGAAGTGAAAATGTGCCAGAAAAGGAGGACTCCTTTCACAGAACTGAAATTCTTGCCCCACTACTTGGCTGTTTTTGGAGGGATGACACCAAGACAGCAGTGTGGTTTTAGAAGAATGTGTCAGGGTGGATCTTTGCTTTTTTACTTCATGATAATGGAAGCATTGAGCATATAGTGGGTCTTTATACTGTTGGAGTGGTTGAAATCCAATAGTGGCAGCTAGAACAGGCCCTTTGAATCAATGGAACTTTCATAGGAATGGACTCACTAAATCCCCTCTGGGTCTTCTCTAATTGTGACTTACTTGGATTTCAACCAACATGGATAGTTTGTGTGTGTGTGTGCGGAATATGTTGTTTAGGTACAGCAACAGGCCGCAGGAGTAGGTTCATTACTGGAAACTGGGATTCAAAAAACCATCTTGGTGCTTTATCAGCCTGTGAATTTGAATCCTCAAGAACTGCTAAGTGGAATCGCTAAGCTATTGCACCATAATATGCAAGCATTTTACCACATTGTCTTCAATTCAGGGATTGTCGCTCTCGAATTGGACTTCTCAGCCACACTAGATGCTGGTCCAAGTCCTCCATACAGAGCATGTTACCATAGTCTCTCGAGACTGAAGGATGCCCAATCTAATCTACCGCATAATTTCTTGCAATGTCAGAGATGGTTTTGGAATGATATCACTGTTTGTGTCTTGTATCGACATTGCACACACTATGAAAATCTTACTGCTATTTCATTGGCACATCTTATAATATTACCCTGCCTATGGAGTGTTGGCAAGCCCCATAGTTACTGCAGCCACATCTTCCACTTAACCGGCCATGTCCACTCTGCCCACCAATTCCATTCCTTGCCCAACTTTCTTCAGCTCAACCCAGTATTTTATAGATTTGTATCATGCTCTGTCCTCTGAATGAGAAGGGATATCTCCAAAGACCTTTTGTATCTCAAGGCTCCTCAAAGCCTATGGGTTTCTCCTCCATCTGTATTGATTGTGTTGTTCTCAGAACACAAAGATCAACATTCATCTATGAGCTTCACAAAGAGAGAATATGCTAGAGGTATAAACAACTTATATACTGCCTAATTTAACGGCCTTAGGTTTAAGATTTATCTTCTGTGCCATACATCTTGCTAGTGTTACCGCATTTCCCAAATGTTGGGATTTTAAAAACAGCGCCAGACAAAATTTCTTCCTTGCCTTACTGTAAGGTGAATCCATGCTCAGAAGATAACAAAGTAAAACAAAGATTGAGTTCAAACATGCAGAAAAGTAGCGCTAAAAAATTCTCCTAAACTGTAGAGGATGGGCTGGCTGGACAAAAACTCAAGCACTATAGAAGAACATAAGTCCCAGTACGTACTTTGTCTTTCAGAATGTTCACAATAATAGACCTTCCATATTGGTCAATGGGCAGAACTGTCATCTGCACAGTGATTAAAAAACAAAAACATTCCCAGATTTCAAGCCATTTTCCTTATACAGGGTAGTTTTTCCATTAAATAAGCCTGGGACAAAGTAATGTCCTAAAAATCTACTGATGTTTGCTGTGTGGTAGTTTCTGCCCCAAATAACATAATGCATTGAGCAAAAAAGAAAAGTCTCATATCTTTTGGCAGGCAAGATGTGATGATGAGAAGGTGCTCTATTTTTCAGTAGGGTTGGGCCCATCACAAAAACACTGAAATTTGATGGGCTGGGACTCTGGAATTCAGTGGGATCTGACAATAGCCCACAGTCCAAAAAGTGCTATTTTTAATTTATTTGATTTTTTTTGGTAAACTTTCTTTTACCTTATGTTTTCAGTTTCTGGGTTTTTGAGTGGAACACACTTGATTCTGTACACACAGACACTAGAATTCTATAAACAGTAGAAGCAACAGAATTGTACAATTCAGAAAACACATCACAATTCACCTAGTACAAGTTTGTTTATCATTCTGCATCAGAGCTAAAAAATAGGGTTTGCTTTTTGCCTGATGTATTATTAAAATGCTGAAAAGTTAGTTGGTTATTTTAGAGGAGTATTGAACTATGCAGCTTATCTCCTGCAATATGAAGCGGTAATGTTCTAGATGAATTACTCTGTATGCTTTTTTCCTGCAAATTCCATTAAGTTCTGTAACATGTTTATTCTTTAAAAGACTATTCTTTGGCATCCTTTTCTGAACTCAAGAACAGGAAATAGATTTCCTTTGCTGTTCCTATAGTGCTGATACTGTATTAGGTATTTAAATCTCAAATCCATCGTACTGCTTTATTTATATCAGTCCAGTCAAGCACTTTTCAGTAGCAGAAATAAATCTGCTTAATACTGTTTAGCCAACAGCATTCACCAGCTCTGATTTGCCCTCAGGCCGTAATAAATATGCAGTCGAGAAGAAATCCAGCACATCAAGTGCAAGTCACTGGCCATTGTAACTAAGAAACAGCTTTGCCAGCATCTTGACTTCTTACATGCCTTCTCCTTAAGCTGCTTAATCTAACAGATCCAACTTCTATTTGAAAGCAATCTGCTGTAGACACAGTGATGTCCTACAATTCATCTAACTGTCCTTCCCAGGGATTTCTGAAATTGAAAATCCAACTCCATGTGGGTGGTGCACGGGAATGGGACAATAAATGTTCCATTTAGCCCAAAAAGCAGAGGCAGATAGTCCAAAACTGCCTGTTCTTCCTACAACATCACCAAGATGCCTAAAATATACATGGTATAGGTAGGGAATATTACCAATGCAGCATATTTACCCTGATCTTGCTGCTAAATTCCTGTAATGCCTTACTAAATCTGATGACGTATTTGAGTAGTTATGAAATCACTTCCTGTGCTATAGTTTCTCATATAGAAATGTGAAATAGAACAGAGTACCTCTATGAGCAGAATCTAGGCTGAAACCACAAATAACTTATCAATACACGAGTTACCTCGAGAGCACATTCAGAACCCATGACTTCCAGTACTGTTCCACAAAATGGAAGGCAAATGACAAAAATGCTGTTTCTGGTATCCCCAGATTGCATAACTCCCTCTCATTTATTTATTTATTTATTTATTTATTTATTTATTTATACACACACACACACATACATACATACATACACGCATACACACACACACACACACACACACACACACATACATACATACATATATATACATACCACACCCATCTAGTGCCTCAGCACTACACTGGGTAGCTAACAATGTTTAAAGACAAACCTCATCTACCTAACCTGACTCACAAAGTATAAATAATGAGATCCAATAAAACAGTAATCCCTGAATATATGAACTAAAAAACCTGATAGCAAATCAAAGCAATAACCACTTCATGGAACAATAAGGATGCCACAGGGGTGAGATGTTTCCAAAGTCCTCTTCAAACAATGTAGTTTTCACCCCTTTTCTGAAGGCCAGAAGGGAGGGAGCCTGACATATATTCTCTAGAAAGCAGCTCAAAGAAAGAAAAATTTAAAAGGATTCAATTAAAGCAGAAATCAACATCATCAATTTAAACAGAATTGAATTAAAAACACAATTTTAGACAAATTCAAACACACTTCAAAACATATCACAAAGACAAGTGCAGGAAAAATCTTGTTAAAATCGCCCTCCTTAGCAACCAATTGCTTCCCCCAATCCTGCATGAATTTCAGAAAATACAACTGGATAGCTCAATGATTAAGATCTCTGGCTGCAGAGCCAGAGGTTGGGAGTTCAATTTCCCATGGTGCCTCCTTGACAGGGGCTGGACTCGATTTCAGCTCTGCAGTTCTGATTACAGTGGAACCTTGACTTACGAATTCATTCCGTATTGGAACTGTGTTCGTACGTCGAAACGTTCATAAGTCGAAGCAAATTTTCCCATAGGAATGCACTGAAAACCATTTAATCTGTTCTGGCTGTTTATTGTTCTTATCTAGAGGCGCCGTTCGCAAGTAGAGGCATTAGTTCCCATAGGAACTAATGCAAAGCCAGTTAATTCATACTCTGCCACTAGGGGGGAGAATTTTTGCTTTTTTATTCTTTTGACCTAAGATGAACTTAGGTCAAAAAAGGGAAGGGAAGGAGGGAGTGGGGATAGATGAACTTAGGTCAAAAAAAAAAGGGAAAGAAAGGAGGGAGTGGGGATGGAACACCTGTCAAAGAGAACACTTTTTTTCCATTTGTAAGTCG